ATGTCAGATATGTCATATATGTCAGACATGTCAGAATTGTCAAATATGTTAGATTTGTCAGATCTGTCAGATTTGTCAATCATCTACGCCACGTAGGTCCTATCATATTTTATCCATTCACAATATGCTAAATAAGATAATTAATGGGATAATTCTGGTATTTAGCAATAAACTTAAAGAGTCATTATTTAATTGATATTCATTCAGCTGAACTAAGCTTGAAAACTAATTTACTTATATAAAGCATAATCTAGATATTGCTATAAGCTCAAGTATTTAGCTTAATACTAAATTAAATAATAATAAGAGCTTTTTAGAACGTATATGCCAACTTGAATATAAGGTAAGAGAACTCAAAAATCAGATTACTCAAAAAATATTTTTTTTGCTAGTGTTAAGAGTGAGATTACTACAAATTCAAATAAGATATAGGCTCTCTAATTGAAAATAAATAAGTTGAAAAGAAAGTATTTTATAGCACAGAAAGACTTATTAGAAATGGATTCAATTAGATAAAAATTAGCATAGGTAAGAAAAAATGATAAATTAAAGAATATTGACTTAAATCTGAAGGAAGAAAATTAAGTAAGAAAAGAAAGAATAGTGCAAATAATAGGTGATTTAACCTCAATGCGAATGGAATTGATAGATAAAAAAAATTAATTCAGATGAAAGATAATTTGTCTTCAATACAAAAGGCATTATCAGAAAAAGAAACACTCTGTTAAGAAACTTATACTCATTTAGATGAGCAGATTTCAAAAGTATCTAGTAAGTCAAAGCATAATGAAGTAGTCTAAAGTATTAGTGAACTGGAGAATAGTAATGAAATCACTAGTCCTGAAATTACCTCAGTATTAGTTAATTTCTTCTTTTTTCAGCTTGCAATCTTTCTCATAATATTATTACTAATAATATAGTTCTCATGTCCATCTTTTCTCATCTATATTCTTTTATTTTACTTCTCAATGAAGAAAAAATCTTCTGAATTATAAAATACCCTTTGATAGAAACCAGAGTTATAGATTACTAATTTGTCATGCAAAAGAATTTAAAGACAGAAATACCTTCTATGAAACTTTGTCTTTTAGATATAGATGAAGTCATAAAACATTTATTTTAAATTTCTGCTAGTCCTTTAAAGGTTTGTCTTATCTAAATCAAATTGATAAGGAATCATAAGATAGGCTTCAGATATTAATAATTACAAAGTATTTTTTTATTACTTTATAGACTTTTTTGCTAGAAGCTTCATATCTTTAAGAATTCGCTTTATACTATCTAATGTTTCACATCCACAGTGCAATGAAATATATTTAAGATTTGCACATATATTTGAATAGGTTGTTTCTGGACATCTTCGAGAATTGGGTCTTATTGAGTAACTCAAAACTTTAAATGCTCTATGGTTATTACTAGTATTACATGTATGTTATTTTTTATTAAATTATAACGGTTAATACACACAGACATAGATCATTGATAGGGAAAATAGGATGAAAGATTAACTCAATTTTAGTATATAGATTAATTAAACTTTGTTATATTTTATATTTCTTATATAAATAAAGTTTCTTTTTTATTGAATTAAATGTAAATTTTTTAAGTTAATATTTAAATAAATAAAGAATCAAATAGTTTAAATTTAATTAAGAACGGTTCCTATAAAAGTAAAAGCAAATATCTGGGTTTAATCCAGCATAATAATATTATAAATCACATATAAAGTAAAGATTGATTACCATAAAAGTATTTTGAAAGCATTTTTCATTGTCTTGTAAAAAATAGTTAGCATTTGTTAGTTTGTTTTTTTGTTTATGCTAATTGTTAATAAAGTATATCATTTTGGTTTATTTTGATTTATTTATTTATTTAATGAAAAACTAACTGTGATGATTATTAGTTAATAGTCACGTGATGTGAACAGAGAAATACATGTGATCAGAAATTTTTTCATAGTGCATAGAAATATATTGTCTTTCGCTTCGCTCTGGACAATTAATATAATTAATAATTTAAAACTGAAAAATTAAAATCTTAATTGATAAGGTCAATGTCGGTATTGCAAGAGTATTGCGTCTACTTGGTTCTTTATTTGACCTGTAGTATTTCTATTGATTAGAAAATGTATAAATGAAAATATCATCAAGTTAAAGAACTCACCATCGCAGGAATATACCGCGATCAGGATCCATAAAAAGTGGGCTGAGAATTGGATCAATGTAAGTGGTGTACAACTCCAATAGGGCTTTTTAATGTGGCACTTAGAACTCTTTCGATGCTAATAATTAGAATTAAAAAATATGTTAGCTTTGTTATTGTAAAAGACCCTCTTGTTCCAAAATTCGTTACAATCTTACTATTTCTTATGGCCTTCAAAACTGCACATTCTCAAAAAGAATGACCAACTAAAAGTATTTGCAGTTCTGAAACTGCATTGTCTCTTGTGATCTCTTCTCGCTGTAGGCGCTATAACAAGAACAAGTGTATTAAATTTTTTTCACATCAAATAAGTGTGAAAGGAAATAGTATACCTTGGCAGTTTTTACCTTTTTATGAGGAGCGACAGTTTCTATTGGGATAATTTTTTGGTTCATCTTCACTTTCTTTTCTGATTTATCATTATAAATATCATTCTTTTCATCATCAAATTCATCATCATATTCAGAATATAAAATGGTGCTACTATAATTATTACCATTATCTATTAAAAATTCAAATAAATTTCTTTATATTTAAATGGCTTTTCTTACATCATAGTTTTCAAAAATAAGTCCGAATTTCACGTCACCACCATCTAATTATAAAAGTTTTATTTAAAAAATTTTATAAGTCAATTTATAAAAGTAAATCAATTCCCAAAAAAAATCTTTTCTTTTTAATAAAGTAACTAAATTAGCCTTTCTTCTTAAACAATGAATAAATATAGTTCATATTATATAAAAAGGGTCATCTGCTTCTTGTTGAAAAAGACCATTAGAATTAAATAGCAGAAAACTGTTAATGAGTTCGATATTAATTTACTGAGAAAAAATGGCTAGTTTACTTTCTGGTTATACAAAAACTGCCAAGTAAACTTTCTTTCGCATTATATAATTAGCTGCATCAAACAATCACTTAAGGTCATATATTATAAAGTAATAATAATATGCAAAGATTAAAGTACAAAGTAACAAATTTTAATGGGTTACTATTTTTAATCATATGTGATCTGCAAGTTGGATATTGTTATCTTGCCAAAAGTAACATATTACGAAAAAATGAAAAGATGCATATAATGAAATTTTTTAAAAAGTCAAATAAGCAGATTTAATTATATTAAAATCAAAGATTGATAAAAGTTTAGTTTAATTATGATATAAAATTTTTAAACGAAGTGATATAATAATTATGGAAGTCATTGTATATTTTGTGGGTTTGAGCATTTCGTTGGATTTGATACAAGTTTTGACAAAACACATCCTGCTGGTATATCTTATGTGAGACGTCCTAAAATTAGATCATACTTTTTTCTGAATTATGAAAGTATCAAGTACTGGATCAATTCGGAACTATCATTACCAGTATTTGTGAAAAAAATTTATTTCTGAAGCTATTTCAAATGTATAATCATCATTATTTTTAATCTAACATGTATATAAAGTGAAAAATAATATTGATCTGAATTATTTATTTACCTCTAATCTACGAATCCTAAAAAATAAATATGAAACTTATTACTGTATTAGCAAGCATACTGCTCTTTTTCTTAATTATTACAAGCAAGACCAATGCAACTTGCGCTAACTGCCTAGCTATATCAAAATACATTAACAAATGTGTTATAGAAAACTACGAATTGTGTATTATAAGTTCTGATACCATTTTAACCGATTGCTGTGCTCTATTTCAACCTTATATTTATCTGTAAGTAGAGAAATTTGCAATTTCATGAATGTTTACAAAAACTTATAATGCATATAACGCATAACTGAATAATTATTTTCATTTAGGTGTGAATAATGCCCAGATAAGAGTAAGTATTATACAATATGCATTCCTGTATTAAAAATTATTGTCTCATACCCGTTAATTTTTTTGTCAAATCACTAAATACAGTATCTTATACTAAGGATTTATATAATACATACAGTGTGACGACTAGATATTAAAATTACGTAGAAATATTCAGTTTATATGTAACATTTATTACTCTTGTGAAAATATAATCTACTGTATATTTATGAATTTAAAGTTATTTTTAGGACGATGCGTACTTGTATATTAAATGATATTTAATGTTATATTACACGGTCAAAGATTCCTTAAATAACTTTATATATATATAGTTTTTTTATAAAATATTAACTTTTTATTGTTTAAATAAATTATTTTGTTCATTGTATGATTTATCACAAGGTGTATCTCGTTAAATAGGCTTGTTTGCTTTTTGTTTAAGAAATCAGATAACATTTTTACGATGACTTCCTATATTATTTATGAATTCAAAGCCCTTTCTTTAATATAAGTCCTTTAACGAAAATATCATTTGCGTAAAATTAAAAAATAGCAACAATAAATTAAAATATAAATAAAAAATATTTCATTTATGTAATAGATTTCTAATAAAACATGGCTCTGTTACATATGAAAAATTTACTCAATGTCTAAATCTTGACCATACAATACTTTTGTCCTCCTGGTAACTATGTTCAATTGATAATTTGTTGTTAAATATTAGTTAAAATGTTCTAATGAAAACTTAAAAATTTCTAATTAATGTTATACGTATATTTAATAAAAAATATTTTACTAGGAAACTAGGACGAAACATAAAAGAATAGCTTAAATTGGGAAGAGAAGCTTTTTCCTGTTCTAGCTCACTTCCTAGCATCCTAGTTTATGCTCGATATAGATAAAAAAACCGCTTAGTAAAGTACTGTTATCTTTATTTGCTATAGATATTATTGCTCCTATTTTTTACAGCTTTATAATGATTATTTTCAATATAAATTCTAGAATACATATTATAGTAGTGCTCAAAAGATTTGCATCACTTAAATAAAAATGTTAAAATAAAAATAATTTTTAATATAATGCCCAAAAACTTATGTAAAAAGGCTCATTTTATTCGTAAAATCTGGCAAAATATATAATAAAAACTTTATTTTATAATTTATAAAAAAAATTGTCCAAAAAGTAAAAATTTATATCAATCTATATGATGCGTTACTTATGATCATTTGTAACTATATATAAATAAAAACAAATCTTCAAACAACTAATGATTTAAAATTTAAAAAAATTTTCCAACTTATTCTTCACCATCTTGTATATCCTCCTTTAGCTTTAATTATATCATTAATTCGTTCAGACATACTTTGGATTAATTTGGTTAAAAATTCATCATCCATATTTTTTGAATAGCTTCCCAAAGTTGATCTTGATTATGAACCTGATGCTCCAACTTTCTCAAACGTCTATCTATTTTATTCCAAAAATGCTCAATAGTGTTGAGGTCAGGTGATTATGGCGGCCACTCCAATACATTAATATTATTGTCATCAAACCATTATTTTATTAGATTAGCTGTATGTTTTAGATCATTATCCTGTTGAAAAATAATATTATCTTTATCAAGCCCATGCCATTGGATTGTTCCCAAAAGGTTCTCATTTAATATCTATCAATACAATTCTCCATTCATGTTTCCATAAATACGTACTATATTATCAACTCAAAAAGAGAAAAAACACCTAATACCATAATATTACCATTCCAAATTTTACTGTAAGTTTAACATGTTGATCCTGAAGCTGTCCTTTGGCCGTTTCCAATAATACTGGCACCCATCAGACCAAAAATTATGAATTTAGATTCATCTGACCAGATGAATTTATTTCAGTCTTCAATTGTTTATCCTTCATATTTTTTTGCAAAATTTAAATATAACCTTCGATATGCTTCCTTAAAGTAAGGTTTTTTTCTTTTTACTCTGAAAAAAAAAAACATTTCTATACAAAGTTCTTTTCACTGTACATATACTAATATCAATATTATTATCAGTTTTTAATTTTTTTGAATATCTACTGCAGTGGAATATTCTTCAGCTAAAATTTGTTTAATAATAATCCACTCATTTCGTTCAGTTAAAATTTGTGAGCGTCCTATTTTAGGCATATCTTTTAAAAAACCAGTAGTATTTACTTTTTTTTAGTCAAATAATACTAGATAGATTAATATTTTCACAGGAAGCAATATAACGTGAACTATATTCTTCTTGAAGGAGTGTATAAACTCTATTTCATTTTTCAAGAAACAAACGACACATTTTTAAAAATTATAATAATTTTAAATAATTTAAACGAAAAGAAGAAATAAAAAAAAACTTTGATCGATGAGAAAAAAAATTGATCGATATTTTAATGATTTTCCATATATAGTAACTCATAAGTAAACAAATGGTTATAAGATATACATCACCATTTTTAGAATTTGATCAGCAAATTAAATTTATTAAGTGTAACATTTTATATTAAAATGTTATTTTTTAAGTAACTTTAGTATTTTATTTTTTGATATTTTTATTTCAAATGCCAATTATTTTTTGATTACATGATATTGATAGTTATAGTTTTTTTTGTGATACAAATCTTTTGAACGTCACTGCATATATTATTTCATATTAGCATTACAAGATGCTACAATAAAAAAATCTTATCATATCCTTCTTCCATTATAAATCTACGTGTACTATATATTTTCTGACTTCGAATAAATCTAGAAGATAAATTACTGAACCATCAATATTAATTTTCACATTGATGATAGTGAGGATCGGAGATGATCGATTTGGCGAATTTATAAACAGATGATGAAGCGAGTGATATAACGGGCATTTACAAAAGACCTTACAGACAGTGATATACATTTTCAATGTCCCAAACATTTTGAGACTGTCTTACAATATGCCCTAAAATGTCTCACATTAAGTCCTAATATCCCAGGCCATGTCCCAAAAATATCTCATGACAACACTGCCTACAGGTGACGTTGCAGGCAAATGAGATTTTGATCTTGACCTTAACTTATTACTATTATGAGCTTGCTCAAAAGCTGATATTAGAAACTAAGCAAATCAGTCGTAACTATTATTCGTGACTAAAAAAAAAATAGTTAAGCAGATAAATACTGACATTTCACTATTTAAGCTCATTAATAAGGATCTGTCTTGTGTTCAAACCAATATGACTAGTTGCATGTTTTGCACAGCCGTCTTTTCATTTATTCTCAATATCAGAAATAAATAGACAGCAAATTCAAAGTAAGGCTCTTTATTATATTTTTTCATAAGTTAATACATTGGCTGAGAAAAAAATTAATGAAAGATATTGGAGAATAATCCACAAGAATTATGAGTGAAATGAAAATTTTTCCCCCAAAAATTATCTGTCTCCTATTGCTAAGAAGCATCTCATAGAATATGACAAATATGAAGAAAATGCAAATATCAGACGTTTAAAAGAATTTTTGAGTGAAAAAATAATTTAATATTTGATTTTGTAAATGATTTTCTTATATTATTAAGACAAAAGATAAAAAAGTCATACCTATAAAT